AGTCGGGTCATTATTATGAGTATGCATTATAAAATATATGCTAATATTTTTTAAAATTAATTTTTATTGTTTTTGTGTCTCATATATAAGTAACTGTCGACGAGTGCGACGAATGCCCGGTAATGCCGTCGACGACCAAACGGCTCACGATTTGTGGCAATTGAGCGCAGATTTCGTGAAACTCGAGCCTCAGTACAGGATTTGAATTGTGATCCAGATGACTTTTAAATGTATTACCTAATTAATTTCTGTCATGATAAATCATTAAATAATTACAATGTTTGCCTTATTTTTATACTTTAACAATACAAATCAACGTGTTCACATTTTAAGTTAACAAAATTAATTAAATTAAAACTAAAAGATTTTATTTGTTTGTTAATCACTATATAGCTGTTTGGCTAAACATAATCTATTTAATAATAAATAAAACTAGTATTGAGTCAAAAAAATATTAGTGAGTCGTAACCCATACCAGGGTTCATAATTTGAAAACAAGGTAATATTATTAATGAATTGTTATAAAATAGCCATTCATTTGTTTATTAATCGTCTAATCTCTGGTCAACCTCCAGGTGGTGTTTCTTGGTTAATGCTAACTGACCAGATTATAACACTATTGTTTATATACGTTGCGGGTTGGGAGTAGGGAATCCTATATAAGAAAGTTGAGCTCTACCGCGGCACTTAGGTGTGGGACAGACTAACATATTGTATAATTAGATCATTAGATCGAAAAAGTGCTAATTATACTATTATAGTTATAATCGTGAAATATTTTTTGTAAATCATTCAATACTTGACAATAATTCCTTGATTATTATTATATGAAATACAATTAATATTTAAAATACTCTACTAATAAAACTAAAAATAAGTATATTTTGCTTAAGACAATTAAATTGTAACATACTTATTTATAATCAGATTTGACTTTGTCAGAAAAATAAATATGTAATACATATTAAATTGTAGTTTTATATGGAAAATGATACAAATTGTTGTTAAATGGTTGTATTTTTAAAATTCTATTTAATATTCAATTAATTCAAGTATTTGTGTTATATGAAATATTTTATTTTTAACAAAATTTTATGAAAAATTAACTTTAATTATAGCAAATTTACAAATACTTGGCGCTATAATGTCAGGTATTACCCCTTCCCTTGATACTTGATAGGACTCTCAAATACTTGAATGTCAAGGTGAAATACTTGACAATGGGCAGTCTAACAATAGTCGCAAAAGTTATCCAATATTTATGATGTATTTGTAAACAAAATATTGTAATTACCTAGGTATTAATTATACCATTTATAGATTAGTTTCAAATTTAAAATTAATATACTTATGATTTACCTATTAGCTAGATATTATGGGATAATTTATATTTCATTTATAGTGATTGATTATTTATGGTAACAATTAGTCAAGTTGGTGAATATTTTATCACCATTAGTACTAATGTATAGCTTGAATACCAAGCCATATTTGTCAAAAATTGTTCATTTTTTAAAGCAATTTATAAGTAATTTGAAAAATTTATTTAAAAATATACCCGATACCCATTCGGTCAATTTTGTTAGCTTTATAATTTTAAAAATATATGTAGTTTATTCCTATACCAGCTAAATTATCAATATCCATTTGACGAATTAACAATCTGCTGCTAAGTTAGGCCAACACATTTTCATCATAACATGGATTAACATTAAATTCATTATTATATTTCAGTGACTATTGTACTATTCAAAATGTTATTAAATTAAAATTAAAGCTACACATTTACCAAGGTCACATTATTAAATAGTTGTTGTTTGTCCAATTGAAATTGTTATGAATTGGGTTTCATTCAAATTACGCTCTTTTAAAGCAGTCTTCAGTTTCATCGGTGGCTCCAAATAGTACTGAAAATTAAATAAACATTTAATTAGTTCTCTAATTAGAACTATTAGTATCAAAGTCCTAATCCTGGTCACATTAGTAGTGACAATACTTTGAACAGTTCAACATTAATCTCATTACTCACTAATGTTAAAATGTCCAAAGTTTTGTCAATGCTAGTGCGGCCCGGATTGATATCTTGGTAAACATAGGATTACACATAAACACAATTGTGGTCATACCTCGTGTGCCAATGCGAACGTTCCCCAATGCACTCCTACACTCAATTTACTTCCAATGTCTTCGTGTATTTGGACGGCCTGTTCGGGGTCCACGTGCTCCGACTCAATTAGCCACCGGGGCTCATACGCGCCGATAGGTATAGCGGCCAAATCAAAGGGTCCATACATTTCCCCGATTTGCTTAAACACCGGACAATAGGCGGTGTCGCCGGCGAAGAAAAATCGATGTTTCGGTCCGACGACAGCCCAACTGCCCCACAGAACCCGGCGCTCATCTGTCAGACCCCTACCCGTCCAGTGTTGGGCCGGAGTCATCACGAACTGGACGTCCGGTTTGGACGGTATGCGAGCGCTTTGCCACCACTCGAGTTCTACCACATTGCGAGTCACACCCACCGCACCTCTCATCCACCCCTTCAGTCCTGACGGCACAAACCAATGTAAGTGTGACCCGAACCGGGTGTTCAGCGCCTGGACACTGCCTAAGTCGAGGTGATCGTAGTGGTCGT